CAGTTCCAAACTAAACTGCGTTTTACTGGGTCTTTTAGCCTGGTAAGACTCGGATGTGTAATTTGTAACAGCCCCTGTTGTAGTAGAGTAGAATAACGTTTCTATTGCTCGGTGTGGTTGCTGTCTATACCAGTACATGTAGCTGTAAGCTGTATTCTTCAGCGTGCATCTGAATGTAGCGGAGCCTCCTCCTGAAATCGACACAGTGGAAGGAGACTGCTCCACGTCGGAGGCCAGATTCCCTGTCGAATATAAATGGGACTTTGTTCAAATTTCTGGCAAGAATTCATCAGGACATTTAAACAGAGAATTTCCAAACACATAAAACCTGTTACAAAAGAAAAATTTAAAACACATTTCAAGCATTTTGTTTCTCTTTACTTAATTGTCAGGTTACTTTTAAAATTCATGCCGACTGTTTTGAGCAAAGCCAGATCCAATCACTGCAATTCTTAATGACAAGTACATCTGTTCTGATTACAGATTGAAATTTTGGAGCAACACCTGCTTTTCTCCAAAGAGGCCTTCGTAATGTTTTTCTCGAATTAAAGGACACAATTCTGTTCAACATTATGTGTTCACAATGAATATTGTAAATGTGCAGAGTTCTCTCAGGAATGACACGAGTAATGTCAGCGTTGATCTCCAGCTCCAGGATCTGGAGTGAGAGTCGGGCCAATGACTTTCTAAACCAGATGAGCGAGTGCTGGAGAGAGCTATAGCGCATTTGACAATACATTTGTTCCATTCACGTTGTGACTTTAACTAACCTGTGGACTGTGCAACTATCCAGATCAGCCAACATACTTCGTACAACATGATCCTGTCAGTTAACACCATCTCCCTCTGTTTACGGAGTGCAGCCCAATGACACTTGTGAAGGCAGCTTATCTACTCATTCTGATTAAATACATCACATCCGGTTGCTTTCCCTTCTTCAAAATCATTTGCTGTGAAACTTAAACTCCAGATCACTATATTTCTTAAAGAATCATTGGATGATAGATGACTGGGCGGAGTTTATCGTAGACCTCAAATTTCAAGCGGATTTGCAGCCTGGATGGGCAAAGACAAGGCTTCAGTTGAGTTGTCATGAACAAAATTCTGGCATTGAAGATGACGTTAAATATGTTGTGTAAGAAGAGAGCTTTTTATACATCGAGATAGTCAGATCTGAAATGCATGGTCTGAAAGTGTGGTCTGACCGGAAAGTCAACAAATGTCAAAACAGATTTTGATGAACATGTGAAACAAAAAATGACAGGAATGATGGAGAATGCATGCGGTGAGAAATGAAATTAAAACTCTGACGAAGTCGAAGGACTATGAATACGTACCAAAACTGATAAACCAGAGACTTAAGGGAGAAATAATTCTTCACAAGAGGGTGGTGAGCACTTCTTTAATTATTTCTTGGGGTGTGGGTGTCCTGGCTGAGCGAACATTTATTGCTCATCCGGATTTTTTTTTCCTTTTTATTAATTCACGGGGTGAGGTCATCGCCAGCTCAGCAGCATTTATCGCTGAGCTCCAATTGGGCATTTCAGAGGCAATTATTTTGCAATGGGTCCGAAGTCACATGGAAGCCAGACGAGGCAATGACATTTGTGAAACATTTGGGTTATTCCAAAAATGGGCAATTGCTTCATGGTCATCGTTAGACTCCTAATTCCAGATTCCTATTCATTGAAGTCGAATTCTAACATCCGCTGTGGCAGGATTGATCCAGAGTACCCAGAACATCTCTGGCTCTCCCAGAACAGCCAGCGATAATACCATGACGCTATCGCCCGCTGTTGCCCTTGAGAAGGAGGTGATGAGATGCCTTCTTGAATTCTGGTGGTCTATTCTGTTATGGTCTTGCAGACGTGATGGTTTACTGTACCATTTCAAAGGCCGTTTCAGAATCAGCATTACTGATGTGGTGCTGGTGTTTCATTTATTCCAGAGCTGATAAGGACGGCAGATCTCCTTCCAAAAAGGGCATCAGTGGGACAGATACATTTATGTGGAATTTAATATACTTTCACGATCACAATGACTTGAGCCAGCTTTGAATTGTTTGACTTTACTGTACAATTAGCTACTTGAAATGGATTTCAATGATACATTTTAGAAGACACTATATAGTGACACGAGGAAAATAATACTGAGATGTGGTGTTCACAGGGTACAGTGAACTGTGCTGATATCATCTAAAATGTTGACATTGGCAAGAACACCCTCATGGCCTTCTTCTGTTCTCTAGGATTTTTTTTTGTAAAATATGCAACATCATTGTATCAAAGTTCTCCCTTGTGCCATGCCATAAGAATTATTCCGAAAATGTGTGACTGCCTGTTATTTCAAATTAATTCACTGTGCGTGGGCTGAGAGAACGATGCACTGTCATAGATGCAATGCACAGGGAGCGTTGATGTGCTGTTTGACAAGTGATGTGAGGAGAAGTCTTCTCTCAAATAAACTCTTCCAGAATTTGAGTGTTGTGCCTGCACTTAGGTTTAAAAATGTGATTGGACTGTGGTGACACACGCCCATGAATGTCACTGAGTTGTGTACTCTCAGCTTTCTGTGAAAGATAATGGTGAACAGCATTGCTGTGAGTCTACATTTACATATAAATCAGATTGGGGAAGAATGGGCAAAGGCAGCTTGGAATTTGTCAGTCAAAGATGCTCAACTGAGCCACAGTTTGTAGAAAGGGGATATTAAATACAGCGGTAGGTTGTGTAGTGGAAGACAGTGAAATTCTGAGTTTTCTGAGCAATTGATTCCCAAACATTTTTCCGGTCAGTTTCATTTCATTAAACTCAGTATTGTCTGCTGGAAATTCGCTCATAAATGCGATATGTTGTTTTCGGTGATCTTTCAGACTGTTCCAAAATTATCACTCTCTCTGCCCGAAGGAATGAGGATAGGATACTGAAGTTAATGACAAAATTTGGTTCTTTAGCTACCAGATAATAAAGTCATCTATTTTGACACAAAAAATATGTCCTGAACATCAATGGTCTGTCTCCACCAGCTGGTGGAAGTTGAAACCTGAACGTTTCTGGAGTCCAATGCAGGTTTTTGTAGCTGCAACGACAACTTCTCAAACACTGTGCATTACTACATGCACAGAAATAGACAGCCGTGTGAGATGAAGAGGCGCTTCTCAGATCCAAAGAAAATAGCGTTTGGCTGGGTCTTTTGGCCTGATAATTCTCAGATGTGTAATTTGTAACAGCTCCTGTTGCAGCAGAGTAAAACAAAGCTTCTATTGCCCGGTTTGGTTGCTGTCTGTACCAGTACATTTGGGGATAGCTCGTATCCATCAGCCTGCACCTGAGTGTTTTCGACTCTCCTTCTGCAATAGAGATGATGTATGGAGACTGCTCCACATAGGAAGCCAGAATTCCTGTCAAATGTAAAGTGGAACCGATTCAAATTTCTGACAATCATCCATTAGAGCAAGGTCTGCATTTGACCAAAGGGCTTGCATTTACATAGAACCTACCACAATCCAGAAACATATCTCATTTAAGGAAATGCAATAATCTTACTTAAATTTCAATTCACGGTTAAAATTCATGCCTGTCATTTCGAGCAAAGCAAGAGTTTGATATTTTGGAGCAGGACCTGCTTTTCTTTGAATAGGTCACTGTGATCATTGTCTCCAGTATGAACCTTGTAAAACATATAGCGCTCTCTCTATAGTGACACGTGGATTATCAGCCTTGATTTCCAGCTCCAGGATCTGGAGTGAGAATTTCTAACCCAGATAGTCGAATGCTACCGAATAAACTACAGTTCATTTGACAATGCTGTTCCATTCACGGTGGGCTTTTGACTAACCTGGGGACAGTATAAAAATCCAGATGAGATAATAGACTTCATGCAACATGATCCTGTCATTTAACACTTGCTCGCTCTGTGCAGGAATATCGCCTTTGAAGGCAGTTTCTCTGTTCCATCCGATTAAATACATCACATCCGGTTGCTATCTCGTTGCCTCGAAGCCATTTGCTGTGAAACCTAAGCTCCACCTTACTTTATTCCTCAACGACGCATTGGATCGATAGATGACAGGTCAGTGTGAAGAACGGGGCTCAAAATGCGAGAGAGATTGCTCGTTTAAATTAACAAAAACAATTATTCCATTGGGTTGTTGATAACAAGAGTCCAGACATTGAAGGTGAGCAAGGTAATTAATTGAAAGTGAAAACGGGAGATACAGAGAGCCTTTGATACATCGAGATTTTCTGATCCGAAATACATTTTCTGAATGTGTGGTCTAAGCGGAATACAATCCACTTTCCAACAGATTTAGATAAATACCAGAAACGAGAAACGACAGAAATGAGGGGAAAAAATAACACGTGGCGAGAGATGTACGGATACAGAGACAAAGTTTCAGGATTATAAATACATGACGACACTGCCAAACCAGAGACTTTAGCGAGAAGCAATCTTTCACAAGAGATCGTGACCACATGTTTAAATCTTTCCTGGAATGTGGATGTCACTTTGTGCGGTAATATTGATGGTCCAACTGGAAATGATTTTGTGAAGGTGGTGTTGAAGTGCGTTCTTGAATCTACCTGCTTTATTCTGTCACTGTTGTTTGTAAATAATGATTTTCTGGGCCTTTTCAAGGGGCATTTCAGAGTCAGTCCTATAGCTCTGTGTCTGACGATAAATCGACTCCACACCAGGTCAGAATGACAGATTTCCTTACTTGAAGGGAACATTGAACAAAATGCATGATTCTTCGGGTGGCAGTTTTGTGATCGCTATGACGACAACAAGCTTTGAAATGATACTTTTTAAAAAAAATGAAAAATGCATAATGCCTTACTTGACATGACCATTAATGACGCTGTTAAAACGACATAGTACGCTGTCATGAGAAAGACAAGACAGAGAGGGTCCTTTGAAGGTTTACAAAGACCTACACTGACCCCATCTAGAGAGTTGACATTGACAGGAACAGCCTAATGGTCCTCTTGCGTTCTGTGGGATCCCTTGTTTTGGTGAAACACGCAACATTCTTGGGTCAAAGTGCTCCATTGTTCCATGCAGCGAGGCTTTTTCCATCAATGTTTGACTGTGTGTTTCTTCAAAATAATTCACTGGAAATGGGCTGAAGCAACGATGCAATGCCAGAGGAGCAACAGAGAAGGAGTGCTGATCTGCCAATGGTGCGCTGTTTGGGAGTTGGCACCAAAAGGAGTATTCTCTCTAGTAAATAATCACAGATTTGACCCAGTTCTTTTGTTTAAGAGCACTACAGTGTTGAAACGCCTTCATGAATGTCACTGAGTGGCTTGGCGTCCATTTCAGAGGAGGTTAATGGTGCATAGCATTGTTGTGCGTCTGGTATCGCATATGGTCGACATTGGGGTAAAATGGGTAAATTTGGGTGTCATCCCGGCAGAACGAACAGTTCATTTGAATCTCAGTGCATAGAAGGATTAAATAAATGTACTAACACGGGATGTATTGGAATCGAGAGAGTTATTGTGAGTTTTGTGAGTGAGTGGTTTCCTCAGATTATAACTTTCATTCACTTTCCATCAAATATAGAATTGCTTGCGTGCTATTAAAATTTGATGGTGATATCCTGTTTCAAGGCCACATCAGACTTGGGCATGATTTCTAATCTCTCTACTGGAGTGAATGAGTAAAAGATGAAAGAGTTTTTGAGTGAATTTGTTTCTTCGCCTGCCAGATCATGAAGTCACCCGAATCTCAGCGGTGTAAATAAGAAGGGATGTGCATTTGTATGGATGTATTGAAGCAGATTTGAAACACTGAGAGTCTGGTGAGTAAAGTATATTGCTGTGAAGAGGAAGAAGGCGCTGTTTGTCCCCTTTTGTCACTCTGGCTGCTGCACAGCTCTGGAGACCAGGAGATGAAATATTGCTCGAGAGGGTTGATTCCAAACAAAAAGGAAAGAATCACACAGAGGACATCAGTAGATGTACTGTTTGGTGAGACAGATCTGCAGGAGAAATGAGATGCTCTGGTATCCTGGATACAGAGCATGAATTATTTGGGAGATTGTGGAGTATCTGGGTGATTTGCAGATTTTGGGAATAATACATGGGGCCTTCAGGGGAGGTAGACTTGAGTTGTTCACAATAATGAAATTTTCCTTGGAGTGAACACAGTAAACTCATTTCAGTAAGATAAGTGACGTTCATCAGAGACGCAGATTTCCACTCATTTGAGAAGTGACTAACTAGTCAGAGGGGTGGGGGAGGGGGTAGTCAAGTGAGTTTTAAGAGTTCCACATGGAAGAGGGTGGACTCTTCCATGTGAGGAAAAAATTGTAGCGATTGTATCGAACTTTAAAGCACGGCTGTATGAGACAAGGCTTTGGAAGCGGATTTAGAAATGACATTAGAAAGTTGATAACAGTAAAGATGTGAAAGGAAACGATTTCCTAGCTACTACGCCAAGAACAAAAGGAGATTGAGATCGACACAAGTCCTTACAAAGCACTGTTAAAGTCTGTGAACGTCACGGAGTGGTTTTCTCGCCCATTTCAGTGGAAAGCTAATGGCTAACAACATTGCAGTGTGAGTGGGTTTACAGGTAGACCATATGGGCGAAACGAGTTTTGAATCTGCCATTCAAACATGCCCATCGGAACCTCGTTTTGAAGAAAAGGGATATTAAATGTCAGAGAAATTCTTGTGAGTTTTGTGAGCAAGTCGTTTCCAAACATTTTAACGGTCAGTTTCATTTCATTAAACCCAGCATTGCCTGTGGGAAATTCGCACACAAATGTAATTTGCTGTTTTGGGGGATCTTTCAGACTCGTTCTGGAGTTATCACTCTCTTTGCTGGAGAGAATAAGGATAAAATAGTGAAGTTACTGAATAATTGTTCTTTAGCTGCGAGACAGTAAAGTCATCTGTCCTGTAACAGAATATGCGCCCTGAACATCAATCGTCTAACCCCACCTGCTGGTGAGAAATGAATCCTGAACATCCCTGGTGTCGAATGCAGGTTTTTGTAGCTGCAAAGACATTAACTTAAACAATGTGTGCTACTGCACGCGCAGAAATAGACAGCCGTGTGAGATGGAGAGGCACCTTTCAGTTCTAAAGTAAACGTCGTTTCACTGGGTCTTTTAGCCTGATAAGATTCCGATGTGTAATTTGTAGCTAAACCTTCACCAGTAGAGTAGAATAAAGCTTCTATTGCCCGGCTGGGTTGCTGTCTGTACCAGTACATATAGCTGTAAGCTGTATTCTTCAGCATGCATTTAAGTGTATCTGAGTCCCCTCTCGTAATCGAAACAATAGAAGGAGACTGCTCCACGTAGAAGGACAGATTTCCTGTCGAATATAAAAATGAAGAAAATCACATTTTTGACATTAATTCATCAGGACAACGGGTGCATCTTAATAGAACATTTCCAGTCATGTAAAACCTGTTACAATAAAAAAAAAACTTAAAAGCACTTTAAAGCAATTTGGGTTCTTTTTTACTTAACTGCCAAGTTACTGTTAAATTTCATCCCAACTGTTTGTAGCAAAGCAAAATCGAATAACAGCAATGTTTAATGGCTACTACACATGTTCATTTTTTAAAACATCGTTCCAGATTGAAATTACGGAGCCAGACCTGATTTTCTATGAAGAGGACTTTGCAATCATTGACTCTGATGAACATTATGTGTTCACTATGAATCTCCAGCTCCAGTATCTGGAGTGAGATACGGGCCTATGACTTCCTAAACCAGATGGGCGACTGCTATCGAGTGAACTATAGCACATTTGACAATGCATTATTCCAATCATGGGATTACTTTGACTAACCTAGGAACAGCGCAAACATCCAGATGAGACAATAGACTTCATGTGACATGATCCTGTCATTTAACACTGGCTCCCTCTGTGAATGGAGTATGGTCCAATGACACCTGTGAAGGCAGTTTCTCTGCTCCATCTGATTAAATACACCACATCCGGTTGCAATCTCATTCTGCAACACCATTTGTTCTGAAACTTAATCTCCACCTCACTCTGTTTCTTATTGATTCATTGGATTGATTGTTGACAGGGCGGTATTAATAGCAGGGCTCAAATTTCGAGAGGGATTATATAGCCTGGATAAACAAAGACGAATTCTTAAATTGTCAGTTACAACATTCCAGACATTGAAATAATGGAAGGTGAGTTGTTTGAAATGTTAACTGGATGAGAGAAGAGCTTTTTATACACTGAGATGCTCAGATCTGAAATGCACTTTCTGAAAGTGTGGTCTAAGAGGAATAAGAGCAAATTTCAAACAGATTTTGATAAATTTATGAAAAGAGAAATGGCAAGAATGAGGTAGAGCGCACGTGGGGAGAAAAGAAATGAATAATGTGACCTGCTAAACCAGAGATTTATGGGAGAAACAGTACTTCACAAGAGAGTGGCGACCACCTCTTTAATTCTTTCTTCAGATGTGGATGGCCTCGCAGATCTAACATTTATTTCACATCCTGAAATGTCATTGTTTTTATTAAGTTGTGGGATGAGGGCATCGCCAGATACGCAGCACTTATTGTCCATCTCTAATTGCCCAGCGTGCAGTTCAGAGGCAACTATATGGCTGTGGGTTTGGAGTCACATGGAGGCCAGACCAGGTAAAGACATTTGTGGATCAGTTGGGATTTTGCAAAAATTCTCAGTTGCTTCATGGTCATCATTAGACTGCTAATTCTACATTCTTTGGTATTGAATTCAAACTCCAACATTGGTCATGGCAGGATTGAACCCTTGTGCCCAGCAATAATACCGCCAGACCATCGCCTGCCCTTGTCCATTAGAAGGTGGTGGTGAGATGTCTTCTTGAATTTTCGTGATCTATTCTGTCACTGTTTTGCGGCAGTGATGGTTTGCTGGGTCATTCCTGGAGGTCATTTGGGAGTCAGCATTACTGCTACGGGTAGGGAAGATTCTCTAGACCTAGTCAGGACAACAGACGTCATTCCTCATCAGTGAAACAGAATCGTTAATAAGAAATTTCATCACACATTCATGATCACAATGACTTGAACAAGCTTTGAATTATTTTTTTAATGTCCAATTAGTTACCTGAAACAGATTTCAATGATACATTAAAAAGACACTATATACTGACATGAGGAAGATAATAATGGGAGGATGTGTTTACAATGTACAAGGAACTTCGTTGATCTCATCTAAGGAGCTGACATTGATAGGAACACCCTTATGAACCTGTCCTGTAATCCTGATGCTTTTGTGAAATATGCAACATTATTGTGCCAAAGTTTTCTGTTGTTCCACGCCTTATTACACCAATATGTGTCTGTGTGTTTCTTCAAATTACTTCACTAGGTGTGGACTGAGGAAATGATGCACTGTCAGAGAAGGAACACAGAGGGAGCGCTGTTGTGCTGTCTGACAGGTGATGTAGAAAGGAATCTTCTCTCGAATAAATGATTCCATAGCTTGAGAGTTACGCCTGCACTTTTGCTTAAAAGTGAGATTGGACTGTAGTAAGACGCATCCATGAATGTCACTGAATGGTTTACTTGCCCAATTTAGTGGAAACTAAATGGTGAACAGCATTGCTGTGTAAGTGGATGTACATATAGTCCGTATCAGGGAAGGACAGATGAAGTTAGCTTTGAATCTGCCAGTCAAAGATATTGAGCTGAACTTCAGTTTTTGGAAAGATGATGTTAAATTCCGGAGAATGTCTTGTGAGTTTTGTGAGCAAGAGATTTCCAAACATTATAAAGGTCGGCTTCACTTCATTAAACCCAGCATTGCCGGCTAGATATTCGCAAATGAATGCAATTGGCTGTTCTTATGGATTTTCAGACTCGTTCTCGGGCGATCACTCTCTCTGCTGGCAAGAATGGGGATAGGATAGTGAGGTTACTGACTAAATCTGTTTCTTTAGCTACCAGATAGTGACGTCATCTGTCTTGTCACAGAAAATGTGCCCTGAACATCAATCGTCTTTCCCCACCTTTTGGTGAGAAAGGAGTCATGTGACCCTGGTGTGGAATGCAAGTTTTTATTTGTAACTGAAAAGACACTATCTCAAAAGTATGCACTACTACACGCACAGAAATAGACAGCCACGAGAGATGGAGAGGCGCCTCTCAGTTGCAAAGTAACACATGTTTGGCTGAGACAACAAGCTGTGGAGCTGGATGAACGCAGCAGGCCAAGCAGCATCAGAGGAGCAGGAAAGCTGATGTTTCGTGTCTGGACCCTTCCTCAGAATGATTGGCTGGGTCTTTTTGCCTGATAGGTCTCGGATGTTTAATCTATAACAGTTCCTGTTGCAGCACAGTCAAATAAAGCTTCTATTGCCCGGTTTGGTTGCTGTCTGTACCAGTACATTTAGGGTTAGCTTGTATCCTTCAGCGTGCATCTTAATGTCTCCCAGTTTCCTCCTTGTTGTGACACGATGGAAGGAGACTGCTACACATAGCAGCCTAGAATTCCTGTCGAACGTAAAGTGGAACCGACTCAAATTTCTGACAATAATTTATCAGTACAAGGGTTATATTTGAACAAAGGGTTTGCACTAACACAGACCTTGACATAATCCAGGACCGTATTTCAGAACACTTAAAGAAATGAAAGAATCTTACTTAAATACCTCGTCACAAATCAAGATTCGTGTCATTCATTTTGAGCAAAACTAGATCTAATAACAATGTGGTAATGACCAGTACGTAGGTTTCTTTCAAACAGTTGCCTCAGTTTGATATTGTGGGGCAGGAGCTGTCGTTCTTTGAAGAGGACACTGTGATCATTGTCTCCAACAGATGAGGACAGTTCCGTTCATATCATGTATTCACTATGAACCTTTTAAAAGTGTAGAGGCCTCTCAGTAATGACAGATGGAACATCATCCTTGATTTCCAGATGCAGGATCTGAAGTGACAGTCGGGCCTTTGACTTTCTAACCCAAATGGTAGAATACTACCAAATGAACTTCAGCTCGTTTGACAATGCATTGTTCCATTCACAGTATGATTTTAACTAACTTGGGGACAGTAGAAACATCCAGATGAGCTAATAGACTTCATGCAGCATGATCCTGTTATTTAATACTTGTTCCGTCTGTGAATAGATTACCGTCCAATGGCACAAGTGAAGGCAGTTTCTCTGGTCCATCTAACTAAATACACCACATCCCGTTGCTATCTCATTGCCCCGAGACCATTTGCTGTGAAACCTAAGCTCCACCTCATTCTATTCCTCAGCGACCCATTGGATTTATAGATGACAGGTCGATGTGAAAAATGGAGCTCAAATTGCGATAGTAATTGTATAGTTTAGATAAGCAAAGACAATTATTCCACTGAGTTGTTAACAGCAAGAGTCCAGATATTGAAGTCGATGCAAGATGTTAGATTGAACTGTAAATGGGAGTTAAAGAGAGCCTTTTATGCATCCAGGTGTACTGAATTGAAATCCATTGTCTGAGAATGTGTTCTGAGAAGAATTACAGAAACTTTCAAAACATATTTGGAGCCCTGCCTGAAATTGGGAAACGGCACAAATGAGGGACGAGCACATCACGATGGTGGAGTGGAAACGGGGAAGAAGTATCCAGATTATAAATACATGACGTCGTTGATAAACTGGAGACTTCAGGGGAACCAATCTTTCACAAGAGAGTGGTGACGGCTTTTTACCTGCTTTTCTGGGATGTGGGTGTTGCTGGCTGTGCTAAAATTTGTTATCCATTTGTAACATATGGTTAAGAATAATCGAATAAATTTGATGATCATGGAATATTTTGATGTCACTTTGTTTAGAATCCAGTCATAGTGAGTTTAATATGGTTTGGATTACATTGTCCGTGTCGTAACATTCTAATATGAGGGAGTACATAAGGGCAGAGATCTTTCAGGCGTGAAAAATGCTGAAATGTATCATGTGAGTAAACAGGGGTCTCCTTTTCTCGAGCAATATAGGATGAACCTTAGAGGTACTAGTTTTCACCAACTGGAAAATGATCGTCAAAAAGAGGGAGGCCATTTGAAAAGGGGAAGAGGAGATGTTCTATGTGAGCAACCATTTATATTGACTCTTAGAGCTTAGTGTCCGAGGGAAAATTCTGGAAGCGGATTTTGAAATGATACACATAACTTTATGATTAAATACGTGAAGTGAAATGTTTCCACAGTTAATGAAACAAGGATGGGAATTTGGGGATGGAATGCGTTTGACTAGAGAGTTCTCTCAAAAGGCTGGGAGTGAAAAATTGGCTGATTTCAAATTCCTGTCTCCCCCATTATCTGATTCTTAAACTTGCCAGAGAAAATGCGCCTTGAAAATCCATCTCTGTTGGTGGGATATGTGTCCTGAACGACCCAGGAATTGAATGCAAGTGTTTTTTTAGCTGCAAAGACACTTTCCCAAATGTCGTGCAATACTGCACGCACAGAAGTAGACAGCCATATGAGATGGAGAGGCTTCTTCCAGTTTCAAAGTGAACTGTATCCAATTGGGTCTGTTGACCTTAAAAGAATCAGACGTGTAATGTATAGCAGCTCTTCCTCCAGCAGAGAAGAATAAAGCTTTTATTGTCAGTATGGTTGCTAATTGTACCAGTACATTCGAGGAGACCTTGTAGGCTTCAGCGTGCATCTAAATGTAGCTGAGTCTCCTTCGCATCGACACGATGGAAGAAGACTGCTCCATATAGAAGGCTAGAATTCCTGTCCAATGTAATGCGGAAAAGTTTCGAATTTTTGAAAATCACGCATTAGTATGTTGCATTTAAACAAAGGCTTTGCATTGACACAGAGCAGCTGACAATCCAGAAATATATTTCAACACATAAAAAGAAACAAAATAATTTTACGTTAACACTCTTGCCAGCCCTTTCCAGCAAAGCAACGTTCAGTAACAGCAATGTGCCAACAGCCAG